TTTTTTTCTAAAAAAACCAAATTTATATTTCATATTTTATTATATATCATATATTCGTCATTTCATACCTTTTTTTTCACATCACTCTACACTCCACACTCTACGCTCCAAGCTCCACACACTCTTCGCACTCCACATTTCTCATTTCACTATTTATATTCTACACTTCACACTCTACATTCCCCTTCCACTCCACACTCCACAATTTACATCAATACGATAACAATCAAAACAACATTATTTTTATTTTTTATTTCGCACAAATATTTGTATATTATCTATATATAAATTTATCGATTCGATTAGGTTATTTGTTATAAAATATATATTTATATATTTATAGTTCTTATTATATATATATAAATAAAGAAATTTAAATATTAATATATTAAAGATAATAATAAAATTCCATAATATATATTATTTTTAAATATTTATATATTAAATATTTTTGTCCAAAAATATATATATTTAAATATTGTATATATATATCATTTATTTAACAATAATTATTATACATAATATTAGGCAAAGGCAAATTACAATCTTAATTATATACGACTATATTCATTTACATAATTTTGGAAATATAAATATTATATAATATATATAGTGCCGATACTAAACAAGTCAGTATGGTATTACAATCAAAGGGATTCGATTTTTATTGCTTATATTTTAGGGGTTTCATCAAATTCATCTTATGTTAAGAATGTAAGGCATCCTCACTGGAGCCTCACCTTATATATGGTCAAATTTTTGAACCGTAAACATTAATAATTTGAGGGACCCTAACTGCGATCTTTTGGATTCTTATATAGCACTCCGGCTAATTTTTGATTTTAATTACATGAACATATATTGAAAATTATTGAAATATATTGACATATGGGATTGGATTACAGATCAAAATGCATCTTGACACAAATTGAATACATTGGTAAATCTAAAATGATCTGTCAATTTTTGTGAACTATTTCTGTAAATATCTGTAATAGATTGTCATAGATGTTTTTTGCTTCGCCATTTCCATATGCGAACTATTCATTCTTTGCCTCACAGCGGTATTTTATGTGGCCAAAGTGGTGGAGCCACAAAACCTCGCCTTCCCCGCCTTTCGTTTGGCCTCCTTCAACTCCAATCTCTTGACCTTGAGAGTCATGAGAGCCATGGGAGCCATGGACATCCCACCACAGTGTCACTTTTTAGCAAACCTCTAGCAGAATCATCTTGATCCTTTTGATATCATTTGCTACAAGACCAACTCGACCCAGTTCGTCACTGCTCGAGGCTCCAGATTACACAGGTTGACTCTTTGAGGCACCATTGGGAAACCAAAAGCCAAGGGAGACTGCGCCCTCAACCGACATCTGCCAAGTACCAGCGCCACCGAATCAGCTGCCGCGACATGCAAGCCAAGACACTCGAATGACCATACACGCTGCCTGGCAGGATGACACAGGGGACCCTGTAGACCACATTGCAACAGGAGCAAGTCACTGGCGTGAGTCCGACGGTGGGGTGTACAGGTACACCGGATCATACCAGTATACCCAAAATAGCAATGTTAGAGGGAAACATATCATAGCATACAGAAGTTTAGGGGCATCCATTTTTGGACAAACCCATATGATGAGTCATGGCAGAGTAAGATTATGTATTCCCATCAGAGACCCAAGGCAACTTCCTCCGGAAGTCAGCTAAGGATAGCTAAGCCGTGACACTGGCTGGACTGGAAGGAGATGAACATAGATTAATTGTCCAGGATTCCTTTGCAAATTGCATTGGAAAATGATTGCGCTGGTTGTGAGAGGCCTCCCTCAGAAGGAAGCCCACGATGAGGAACTGGCACAACCTCGTTGAAAAACGACTTCTGACAGCACACAGGTCACACAGAAAGCCCTGCATCCCGAGGCATGTGCAGCAAAGGTAGTCCCACAAGTACTGAAGCAAAGACCTCAGCAGCAATCATTTCAGACCTGAGGTGGGACTCCTTACTGGGACCATCTGAATGGATCAATGTCCACAACCATGAAGTGCAGAGCTAGTGTCCCACAGTCCGGCTATTTTGATGTGAAGAGCAGGGTATCAGGCTTTTGAGCCATCATCACTTTTGCAAGCTTATCACCCAGGGCCTATGCCCTACATCCTGGAGATTTGATGAAAGGGTGATCTTGTGCTAGGGCCGCTAAGTCAAATTCTAATTGGCGATGTCGGGGCGATGCATTTTGCAACTCAGGACTTGGGGATCCGCAAGAATTGGCAGTTTCCGACACGAACTTTCGTAGCTTCTGTCACCAGTGTTGCCAAGTCATTACAGCATATAGGATCAGGACATATCAAGAGATACCAGGGCATTCTGCAGGTCCACTTAGGTCCACTGACACCCCATGGCACCATGGATTTGATGGACCTCTGAGGTCTGCACCCCTGCCTGATCAAAGTAATCCTGGCTGGAGAAGGTCTTCCAATTGCTGCTGGCCTTGGCAGTTTCGACAGTCGAGAGGGTCCCGGTTTTGATATCAATATCAACTACCAAAAAAGGGATACCAGATCCCATGTGGTCATTATGTTGCCTGATCATCATCTTTTCCTGCACGGCGTCAAGAATCTCTGGTATGTTTCTTTGAACTACACTATTCTTCATACACTGAGGCAAAACCATGCAAACATATGCGGCAACACCTTTGGATGTTGCAGGAAACAGCATCGCAAACACAGCTCCGTGATATGAACCTGCCATCAATCTCTGTAGACTCTGTAGACGTGGGTGGTGCATTGGACAAACCATTACAACCCCAAGAAACCATCTTGATATGATCTGGTGGTCGCAGGATGTCGCAGGCGAGTTCAAAACATGGTTGGCACAAAATTGCAGAGAAATTGGATACTGTGATCTTCAATGATTTTCACAGGACAATATCCCAATATCCCAATATAGATGTTGTATCATGTTATATCATGTTATATCATGTTATACTGTTATTAAGTTACTATATGTTATCATTGTTATTTTATACAATGACATCCTCCTGAGGCTCTGTCGAGACTGTTCAACCTCTCAGCACATGCAAGGACGGCCGTGTTGACCTTGGAGGAATCCAGATCTGAACGGGGCGGCCTCTGCAGGCTCTACGGGCTGGGCCAGGGCCCTTATGGGCTTTAGGGGCCCTTATCTACCCCAAACATGATCGAACATCCAGTGCATCACTTTTGAACATCACTTTGCACACCAGGCAATGAAATATAGCAATGGAATTGTAGATTATTTTGATTTATTAACGTGGATTTCCCGTGAGGATTTCTGTTTCCCTCCGCTCTGACATCCGGACCATAAAAATTGTCGCAAGTCGTTCCCAAGACCTGCACAGCTTTCTATCCTACCTGCGTTGGTGTTTCGTTGGCAAAGCATCTCCCAATTCGCCAGCCCCAACTGCATTGATTCCCCTGAGATCTCCTGAGTATTGAAGATTTTTGCAATTGAAGGCAGTGCCACGACAAATGGCAGGGCCTCCGATTGATCACAATGATCAGGACATCGACCAGCCTCGCCAATCTGAACCCATGGGTGCCACAGCGAAGCCATTGATGTCGGTACTCAAAAAGCTGCTAAAACATGCTGAAAACATGCTGAAAATGGCATGATCAAATTTTCAAACCATTCCAACTGGCCCTACTCACACCTGGACCCTCAAAGGTGCTTCAACTTCCGACCGCAAGATCTTGTGGATGCCAAGCTGCTCCACCAAAAACAGGCCAAAAATCCAGAGATCGCTCCTCCAGTCCTGGGATTTCCATGCACGGCGTGATTCTGCACCTATCTCAGGTGGCTACAGTATGGTATAGCACATTATAGCACAATAGGTTGTGGAAATCCTGAAATCCATGTTGACACCACCAGAAACTTGGTCTTCTCACCAGAATATCGCCCTTGAAGGGAGTAAGTTGGATGGCAAGTGTTGAGGTGAATGGTGAATGGCTTCAGCAACTCCTCACCAGGTGGCCCCAGTGCACCAAAATCCATGGCTTGGGCATCCCATTGAGCCATCCAGTCTGCCCTCACTGAGTGCCCCGCAATGGCGTGGACGAAGGCCTTCCAGAGTACCAACGATGTGCGCCATGGTACTGCAATGGTACACGTACTTTGCACGTGCTAAAATCTCTCTCTTCAGCCAATGGATTTAAGGACAGTTGGAACTGATGCCGCAACTTACTTGACCCTCTGGCCAGTGCTGTGACTCGCCAATCTCGGGCACTTCCACCTTCCATTCCACTGCACCTGCACATCCTCTGAAAAGCTCTGCGTGTACCGATGATCCCTGGGCCAAACATGTCTGCAGTCTCTCTCAAGAAAAATTGGGTTTGGCACGGTTTCTCTGTTTGCGGTGGCCAGGGCGATGCAATATGAACAATTTGCATCCATTTCATTTGCAAACAACTTCCTCACTGAAATGATCTCTCTGCAAAGCATGGCTCCGCTCTAAGACTCCAAATGCCTGGATCGACCCCGCCCTGGGGAAGGAACTGGTGCAGCTCTGGAGGTTTCAAAGGGACCACAATATTGACTCAAAAACAATTTGATTAGCCTTCACTTGATCTTGAGGCCTACAAAAAGGACATGGTGAGCTCCTTCAAGACCCGATTCCAACAGAATTGCAAGAGGACATAATCTTAATGAGAATTGCAGAGTCACACTTGATGGTTTCAGTGCGAACTTTTAGCGCTCAACAAGTTCTTCCAAGATCAATTTTCCTTTGGATTTTGCTGCACTTTGCCTCACTTCATTTGGGGTTGACCCTCTTCAACAAATCATGGATCCAGCAACAGATTTGATAAGCCTTGGGTGAATCTATCCATATGATTCCCACATTCTATCGAAAACATTGGGAATATTCTGACCCCAACTTCAAGAGCCACTTGACAGACAGAAACACCTGACATCACCTGACTACCCAAAGCATATCGTTTTCTTCGCAGCCACTAACGTAGCTGTCCTTGGAGCAAGCGGAACCAGCATGAGAAATTTCATCCATATCCGTTCATCATTGGTGTGAATGAAACAAAACACACATGGTGATAGATTGTGACAGATTGTGCATGATATCTGGCACACTATTTGTATCATTGCTCAACATTTCTTTGTGGCAGATCGCTTTTCGTATGTTTTAAATTTCACTGAAGCATCTACAAACCATCTAAAAGTCACAAGCATGATGCAAACCAACCTTCCTCATCAACGATACCTCTTCTGGTTAAACAATGTTAAACCCAAATATCCATACATATCCATACATATCCATACATATCCATACATATCCATACATATCCATACATATCCATACATATCCATACATATCCATACATATCCATACATATCCATACATATCCATACATATCCATACATATCCATACATATCCATACATCTCCATACATCTCCATACATATCCATACATCTGCATACATCTGCATACATCTCCATACATCTCCATACATCTCCATACATCTCCATACATCTCCATACATCTCCATACATCTCCATACATCTCCATACATCTCCATACATCTCCATACATCTCCATACATCTCCATACATCTCCATACATCTCCATACATCTCCATACATCTCCATACATATCCATACATATCCAGACATATCCAGACATATCCAGACATATCCAGACATATCCAGACATATCCAGACATATCCAGACATATCCATACATATCCAGACATATCCAGACATATCCAGACATATCCATACATATCCATACATATCCATACATATCCATACATATCCATACATATCCATACATATCCATACATATCCATACATATCCATACATATCCATACATATTCACTCATTTGCCGGTTTTATATGGTTTTATTCCCACTTTTTCCAACCCCAAGTTTGCTTCCCAAGGATCTCAGATCTCAGCAGATCTCAGCAGCATAGGCCCAGTTTGGCGAGTGCCGCATGGGTCTCCTGGTCCAACACCAAGCGGTTCCGCGCCAGGAAGCACTGCAGCTGCCGCAGCCGTTCGTGCAGGGCGTAGTTCGCCATGGCGCCCCGGGCCGCCGCATGGCTCAGGACACGGATGTAGTCCTCAAATCAAAAAGCTTCCAAGATCCACCCCAGGGAGGCAATTTTAATGAACATTGTATATAGTTACACAATGTTACACATATCATCATGCTATATCTATGTTGCTCTATATATATATATATATATATCATATAACATAGTATTTTTTAAAAAACATATGCAATATTATAACCATATATATATATAGTATATTCGTATTGATACCTGTACATTATGCATATGCTATGTGCAAATGACAACGAAATCAAAAAAAAAACAATCTGCTGATCAACGGGTAGTTGTCCGCAACGATTCGAGGATATTCAGCCCAGATTTCTTCAGAAGCCTCTGCGCTCTCTGTTCCCAACGCCAGCAATTGTTCCCGGTCAAAGATGTCAAGAGCATTTTCGGGTTCCCCTCGGTCGCAAAAGCTGTGGAACATCCTCAGTTCGAGAGTGTCAATGGCAAAAGTCACCTTTCAATCATCTGGATCCATGTGGAAGAAAAAGAACACCAGGGGACCCAGTCATTGGAGACTCAATTCATCAATTCATCCAGAACTATATCTACAATTGTAGTCATTCCAATTAGATCCAATTAGCACGAGTTTGAGAAAGTGTTTGAGCCAATTTTGAGCATTTCTGGCAGAACTTGGGGGTTCAAACAATGACTCACTCGACTGAAGTCGAGAATCCTTGTGGCATAAAGCTTCCTTGCAACGGCCCACACTTGCGAGGAGAGAGCATAACCTGCGCTTTATGTGACAATCCGCCCACAGACTGCAAGGGTCTCTCTCTCTCTCTCTCTCTACATATTTGGCAATCTCTGAACCCAAACAAAACACTCCAGAGTGAGAGCTCCCATGCGAAATGAAGCAGTTGGATACATTAGTGGGGTCTAACTAGTAGATTGCAGTGACCTGTGCCTGCAGCCAACATCCAAACATCACAACATCACTCGGCAACTGTTTATTACATATATATATATATACATATACGTATATCTAGTTTGCTCTCCCTCATGGGATGGGACAAACCACCACCCAACAGTTTCCGGGGCAAGTCACGATCCAAGTTTCGCTCATAGATGTCGAAGAAGCGCTGGATGTCTTGAGCCAAACTCATCGCCTCGTTGTTGTCGTGTCCCTCGCGCCAGATGGGCAAACAAAGACAACGACACAAGACCTGCAGCACCTCGCTGTAGCACCTCCTTGGTGGCGGTGCCAAAATCTAAGAGGCAGACATGGTGAAATCCTCCAGAAATCCCCTATCTCTTTAAATCTAATTTTCCTTGTCGTCCCCCAAACCGTGCTCCAATCCACCCACATCCAAGACATCACATCCGGTCCCGAGATGGTCCGAGAGGCCCCAGGTGGAGCAAGCGAATGGCTTCTCGATACTGGCCCTGCTCACAGGCTTGACGTCCTGCTTTGGAACAGAGCTCTACAAACTCCGAGCGATCGCCCATGCCATCCTTAGTATTGTGGAGTGGGAGAACTCCAAGATGCTTTTTTTTTTACGGCCCTTGACATCCAAGATGACATTCCAAACACATGGTACGCTCATTTAAAACAAATATATAGATCGTTATAGTTTAGAGTTCCAGCTGTTAAAATGTCATGCGCTGGGTGCCAGGAGGATACACCATTCTCGACCGAGGGTCTTCCTGTAGGCTTTGTTCCAGCAAGCCAGGCCGGTGCCGACCGTTTGGGTCGATGTAGCCTAAAAGTTCATCACCTCAGGTTGTCGTAAAGATAAACGATGAGAAAGGATGAGGATGGAGATGCGGATGAGGAGGAAGAAGATGGGGAAACCAGCTGGTGTGATGACTACAAAAACGCAGAAAACAATAACAATACACAAACATACACAAACTGTTCAAATCAACAAATTATTTCAGAGCCGCCATTTTGCGGCGCTCAGGGACTGTGACTCATGCATTCTCATTCAAATCGACTAAGCCTCGAACTGCCCATGCTTGGAGACTTTGTTGGTTTTGAAGATAGCAAGTCACAAATTTCTTCTGTTGAAGCAAAGTACATAGAAGTATGCCCAGAATGCAACTGCGCAGGTTATGATATTTGTTTCAGGTGGTAGCATCATTTTCTGAACGCGAACCTGATTCAAACCTGAACAAGTAATGATCAAGTTTGAGTCTGTTACACCCTTGAGTGTTTTGCATTTTGAATGAACCCTGACTGTGGACGCTAGACATAAATCCATTAACAACCATTCATTTCATATCAATATCAAATATATTCAAATATATCAACTAGCCATTTTCGTACATATTTTCTATACATCAATATAAATCAATGGAAATTGACATAAACCCTCCGAATTTCTATGGCCATACCACCACCTCACCATCCTACCATCCCCGTCCTGCTGCACCACTCAGCAGCAAGCGCTGGAGCGCCTGGACGCGTTCGGAGACCTCCAAGGCGCGGAAGTACTGCAGCTGCTCCCGGGCAGCGAAGTTGGAGGCGTAGTCGCACCTGGCGATGGCTTGATGGCTTGATGGCTTGATGGCTTGATGGATGGGATTTGGGGAGATTTATGGGGGATATCAATGATGGGATGATGGGATGATGGGGCTTGGAGATTGCTTGGAGGGGATTAGGGAGAAGACAAGAATGGATTTTTGAGGTGCTCCGGGTCCAAATCCCTGAAAACTGACGCACCCAACAATGCGTGGAAGTGATTTTTTACCATTGGAAATTGGTCAGCCAATTTTGACCCATATCTTGTCATATCTTATCATATCTTCATTAAAATTTCTTGAATGTACCCTCTGGTAATTTAACATAACTATGGAAAATCACCATTTTTAATGGGAAAACTCACTATAAATGGCCATTTTCAATAGCTATTTTGACATAACCAGAGGGTAGCTGTGTCAAATTTGCCAATTGGCCAAGGGACAGGAAGGCTGAGACGTCCATGGGCGCCTCCAGCACTTTGATGGCTTCCAAGGTGCCAGCGCGCCGCAGCAGCAAGGCCATGTGCAGCGCCACGCCGCGCAGACTTCGGTCCTGGCAATGGAAATCTGCAGATTTCGATGGGAATGATATGGAGAGAAAATGCCAAGAAAATGCCTGGAAATCAGACATGCCGGGTCATTTCACCATCCAAATGAATCTGCGTTTTGCCCTTTTTCAAATCTGCCGACCTTTTGATTTGAAACTAGCTGGTGGCGTGGTGAAATGTGGACGAGGAGAAAGGAAAGCTGGTCTTGGTGGGTCATGCTTTGGGGCAGTTGCCAGTCTTTAAAGGCCAGGTGTATTGGCTCTGACTTACTGCTAGCGAGAGAGAGGTCTGTTCATAGAGTTTAATGACAGGTTCTGCTGTGACAGGATTGCTTTTGGTGAGATATTTCAAAACCAAGTTCTGGTGATGGTCCGAGTTGATTGCATCCACCAAATCCCTCGTGCACCAGCGAAGTTTCCAGTTACCCACCTGCAGTTGGAGTTGTTGCAAAGCGCGGCCAAACTGCGCTGTGAGCAACAGAACCTGCCAAAGGCATTGAAACATTGCCGTGGTCTGACATATTCTGACCAAACTCAAAGGTCAATTTCAATGTGGAGCCAATAGTACCTACATTGCAGGGGTATGTATTGTAGGAGCATGTACAAGGAGGTATAGGTGCGTCACAAAAAAGAGGCAGTTCCGCAGCAGCAGAGACACAACAATCCGCTATTCTTGGATTTCTTTGTGGACGCATGGCCAAGCCATTTTTCGAGTCAACCAACTCCCCATCAGAGAGCCTTGACTGAGTTCAGTGTTTGCATAGCAGGGGCCACACCAGGTACACCAGGTATCACACCTGGCAGACAGTTCACCACTGGAAGCAAATGCCGGTGTCCCATCCACAGCTCTTGAAGAGAGTGAAACCCATTCAGAGATCCGAAAGCAAGAAAATCACTGTTTGGATAACATTTGGGGGTTATTCGATGTTATTTGAGGTTCCCTAAGTGACCTAAGGTTTGGATACGCCAAGCTCTAGAGCTCTCAAGGATGGCTCTGGCGCCTGCGCCCGGTACCCGTCCGTCAGCATCGATGTTCTCGAAGTGCGAGGGGCCCAAAGAAGCGGCCTCCGTTGGTTGAAGACATCCAAAATGGATGGTTTAGAATGGACAGTCCTGTTAAAATGGATGATTTGGGGGGTACATTGTCAGCTTGGTCAGCCTATATGATGTGGAGTGCTCCACTAGGTCTTAGGTTCTAGGTTTCTCAAAACGTATCAACACGTAGTCTGGCTCTGAATGGAACCCCAGTGGTATGAACGCCACCTATTAGGACCTACTACCGACCACCAAAGCGGAAGGTGGAAATTGACCTGCTCATGGATTTGCCTGGCCTGGTTTCGAAGTTTTTCCAGGTGATTCTTGAAGTCTGGTGATTGATCGTCATCCTGTCCAAGCAAATGAACCTGAGTTTGCGTCGACAGGCCAGGACTTTGTGGATGCAGAATTAAGTGGGGCAGCTTCTGGCATCTGGGTTTGGGTCAAAACCCTGGTGCTCGGCCAATATCTATAGCAAAAATCACTACTCTATCTGGGGGATGTGAATCTACCAGTTACCCATAGGCACATCTTCCTCATGGTTTCTCAAAGTTTCCAACATTTTTTGCTCCACCGGGTTGCTTGAATTTTTCCTGAAACGTTGGGATTGTGACTTGGACCATCTTGGAATATCTTGGAAATTCTTGGAACATCTCACCAAGGCTTCACCAAGGTACCAAATGCAGTCGATACCACAGCCAGTCCTCCACCGTTCCCTCGGGCAGTTTGCCAAAGGCGAAGCCTCGGCCCAGCAGCAGCGAGACCAGGACGTCTTGGAAGCCGCTACTCTCCTGGCGGATCATCCTCCGGGGATGCCCGGAAGAAGGGAGCAACGGAAAGGAACACACAGATGTGAAACACAACTGAACCCACCAAAATGACATGTAATGAAATGTAATGAAATGCATGTATGCGCTTCACCTGCACGAATCACCAAACTGATTTGACTGATTTGGCCTATTCGGGCCAAATTGGATGCCCTGCAGCATGTTCAGGACAGTGCGGCCCCAACAATGTGTTATGTACATAATATCGCAATCCTCTTGTTAGAAACTGTTTGACAGTCGGTCAAAAACAATCATGCTGTCGCTTCAAAATCGTCAACACTCCTTCCATTAGTGCCAATGCGATTCCATGACCTAAACTGGATCGGTTTTTTCCATGTTTTTCCGTTGGGTTCCATTCCAAAAGGACGGACAATAAACAACATTTCCAAGCAACAAACATGTATATATATATATATGTATTATATATATATATATCATATATATATGTATCAATGTATATATATATATATGTATTATATATATATATATCATATATATATGTATCATATATACACTTCATGGCGCTTGCTGCGAAAACTAGGGGTCAAAACTCTTGGACCTTGCCCCCCGATCACCTCCACATCAGCTCGCAGTAAATCAGCCGAGTCGATTTGGCTCACGCCCGACAGTGGTGCTATCTCACCGGGCTGCACCGCCTGCCTGGGTATGAGGCTGTTGAGGAAGCACTGCTGATGGAAGATGTTCATCTTGATTCATGCTCTACTGCTCTACCTTTTTCCCAACAAGCCACTTATACTATCGCGTCACCATCACAGCCTGCAAACTGAATCCTGAACAGGTCAGTCACTGTGCAAAGCATGGCAAGAACCTTTAGGATCTGCAAAGCATTGTCCAGCACTCTTTTGGACAAAACGTCTTGGAACTAGTGAAATCCACCATCCCCATGTTTTCTTCCCCAACTTCCCTACTCCCCTTTCCATCTTTTCCATGCAACCCACAATTTTGATACTGTTCATCTTCAGGCTTCCCAAATTCTCTCCCCATTATATCCCATTAATATCATCCCAAGTCTATTTCCACCATATTCATAACATTTCATACCATTTTATAACATTTCATAACATCACTAGTAACATCTAGTAACCACATCCCAAAATCCAAGCGACATCCGCCGCGCCAGCAGGTGACACACGGGCCGCAGCATGGCGCAGCGCTCCGCCGGCCCCGGCACCTCAGGTAGCTGCAGCAGCAGCTGGCTGAGCCCTGCGCGCGCCGCCACGTAGGCCGCATACCACACCTGGGGCCCATAGGGACCATGGGACCATGGGGGGTTGGGGGGTTGGGTACGGAAACCACTGGTGTTGATGATTTCACTGTTGGATGATTCTAAAGTGAAAGGGAGACTCTTTTTAAACATGTTTTTTTGGAACAGTTTTGGTGAAGCAAATGGATGACATTGACTGCACTTCTTACAGAGAGAGTCCTGCTCTGGAAGCTTGCGGGTCCAAGAACAAGCATGCAACCTGCCCATTGTAACCTCTGTCTGGATCAACATATTCCCACCATCAACAGCTCAACAGCTCCATCCCCCCAGATCTTCTCCCAGGGACGTGGGTGACATTGCTGGGAAAGCTGGCCGTCTGAAACTTCAGCCGGCCATGCGCCTTCACCATGGACCAGGCATCTGGGATACCGCCCAAGGCTTCGGTCTCGGCAATGCTCGGCGCGGGGTGCTTGCTGTGTTTCGGTGGATGGATATATTGATATACCTTCGAAAGGCCTACTCTTGGCCTCTAGAATTTCTGATGGCCATCAAAAGGCATGGCTCCCTGTCTTTCTGTCAACCTCCAACCTCCAGGTTCCCTCTGCGTTCTTAGCCACTGGAGCATGTCCCTGCGGCCAAGTGACATGATTGTAGACAAAACCCTTCACCTCAGGCCATCAAGTAGCGTCAGCTGGAAATCACTGTGGACCCTCCCAACCCAACCCAGTTGGCCTCCTCAAAAAAGCGGGTCTGGAGATACTTGATGGCACCAGCTGTGATGCTCTGCAAGGTCATGTTCAATTCTTGACCTGCGGGCAAATGAACCAAGGACCTCTAGTTTTGTTTGCTGCTCTAGCCGTTTTGAGCTCACTCCTTTTCTAGTTTTCTGGTGTAGGCACTGGGTTGAGATATTCTGATATTACTAACTCTTTAACGGGCAGAATTGAAAAGTCGCCACAACTCAGCCATTTCTACCTTTACGAATACCTTTCAACATCGCATTGTTTCTCCATCCATGAGGCACTACCCAACCCTTGGGCCCCCTGTAGCACCTAAAATGTTCCAACACTCTCTGAGTTCCGCTTGATATGCGGGGCAACTTGCACTGCTGAGATGTGCGATTTTCCTGCCAGGCAGCTTGGAAACCCAGCTTTCCGCAATGCCAACATTTCGGTCCATGGCAACCTAAAGGCCCTTCCAAAGGATATTTCAGTGAACCCAGAAATTATGACTGCAATAATGAATCTTTCAACCCGGGTTAGTGTATACTTTGGATATCTTTAAACCCATGTGGTTCAAGTGTCTTTTCTGTTGCCCAGGTGGGACTTAGACAAAAAGTTTCTGAAACAAATCTCAGTTTCTGAACCAACTGCGGGCTCATAGGTTCACTCAGAAGTGCATCAATGATTGGAGCATCTTGAAGAGGTGGAATAGCAGCTTGAGCGCCCACAGTACTGCCATCCTGTTTTGCTCTTGAAGCCGGTGGGTGTCTTTGAGAATGACTAAGTCTATGACGATAGCCCCAGCTAAAGAAGTTATCTTTTCCCCTTTTCCCCTTCAACTTGTCTCAATGCCAACAGAACCTGATCGACGCTTCGCTGAAAGGTTCCTACATTTCTTGATGATTTGACTCAGGGAGACACACAAAGATGGAGCAAACAAACCAACGGGATCCAACGGGTACGTCTAGTGGTAATGACGTAGACATGAGACATGGGTTCTTCTAAGACATGACTGTGCACCTGCATAGTAAAACAGACTTGATGACTTGCAAAAAAGTGATCTCGCAAAACCAAAATCGCTGGCATACACACACACATGGACAGTACACAGCGCTGAAGTCTTTGAAGTCAAAAAATCAGCATTCTATTTTCTACATCTATTTTCATCTATTTTGTACTCATCTACTACTCTTTGTTCATGCATGTTTACATTGTTCATGTGGCCTTTCTGCCCAAACTTGCAAGACCCGAAAGCGCCGAAAGCTCCAATCTATGCCGCTGAGCTTCGGAGCACAGGGCGAGGACAGCCGAATTTTCGCCCAAGCGCTGCAGATTCTGCAAGAACTGACCCTTCGCTTCCTCAAAAATCACACAGCACTGTATTCCACATGGTGTTGACAGCAACAGCATTGTCTTGGATGATTTGGTCATCTGGTGCCACCAGATACAAACATCACAAGTTGTATGCCAAGGCGGCCAAGGCACTTCCCAATCTGCTTGAAGCCGATCAAAGGAATGTCGCTCACAACATCTCAGGCAGTCTCTGTAGCTCTCCTCTACCGCCTCCACGATGACGCGCTCATGTCGAAAACCAAAGAATTCTTGCAGCCCCACTGAGGGGTCGGCATCCTCCTGTTTGGTGCTAGCCTGGCACGGCATATCAACCAATTCACAAGATGGGCACCAAAGATTCACCAAAGCCTCTCTACAAGTTCCCTGCAGAATTTTGAGGCAACGTATTACAACTCAGAAACTCCAAGATAGCGGAAACTTCCGAATCCTCCGATTTTTCGAATCCAATCATCACCTTGTGCTTTACCATTTCCCCACCGTTTCACCACCATTTCCAGGGCTACTCCACCCGCAGCCTGTGGCGCCAAGGTGAAGTCCGCCACGTCCCTCTCCAGGCGTTGCGCTTGAGGGCTCTGCAGCAACCGAGGTAGCGATGAGAAGGCGCTGCTGTAGCCCTGCGACCTGGCTGTGGCAGGATAAGGATCATCATGTCAACGACATGCCAACGACATGTCGACATGTCAACAGATTGAAATTAGGCACGCCAACATATAGCTCTTTTGGTTTTGGGGTGATTGAATAAGACCCATGAAAGCCATGTTCTGAGAAGTGAAACCGGACCTTCTTGTGGCCTTTTGGAGCTTTACTCTACCTCTAGTCGGCCCCGGCCTTGCACGTGCCTCACCAAAAAGCTGCTCCAAAGACTTGTGAACCTTGGCTGGACAGTAGGCCATGGTAGGATGGCAACATGGATTTCAGGTTAACATCCTGCCGTCCGTTTGGAAGGTGGATCTCTTCCAAACATTAACCAACATCCATCATCAACCACTACCGTATCTGAGCTGTTTACTCATTGTCCTTGGTCCATATGGACCTCAGCGTCTTATATCTGACCCATCCCCAGTTCATCAAGTTTGCCCCTATCCCTATCTCCATCTCTACTCCTTCCTCCCTCGGTCCATCTTTAATCACCATACCTAATACCTAGGAAACCTAGGATCTTAATCTTCAACCCTCATTGTTTTTTGAGTTATTCCCTGAGGATTTCCAAGATTTTCCCGGAGATTCCAAGGTCATAAAAAGGTCAAATCTCCCCATTCCAAACGCGCTTCCCCCTTGGATGTACCAGCTACCAACTGGTTCACAACCACGGTCATCATTCACCCATCTATGGGATACTGATAGATTGTTATCCAGCAACAAACTTGGATGCACATGGGGCTTGTCTTCGAAAATGAAGTACTGTATACTTGCTTTTCCCATTCAACTTGCCACATATTGGGATTCAATTTCCACACGCATAGCCATCATATCCCTCAAATTCCACATCTTTTCCATATGTTTTCCAGTCTTTTTGTCATCCATTTCCATCATATGGGTTTGTCTGAAAATAGGGTATATTCCCAAACAAATAGCCATTTAATAGGGATAATGATCAGCAAAACCATTGGGTTTAGGGGTACACTATTTTCAGACACACCCATATCCAACTGTCCAAAACCCCCCATGGCTCCACGTCACCGCCGTCCGCCGGTTCCGCGGCCCGCTACTGCCCAGCTCCACCAGCCGCTCGGCGCGCTCCAGCTGCCGGAGGCCCTCCGTCTGGACGTCCACCGCAACCGCCATGGCGGGATCGTAGGGATAAAGATGGATTGATTGTGGAATATTTACACCTTGAGGATGATTCTTTGATGATTTCTGATGATATCCAACTTTGATGATTTATCTTGATGACATTTTCAGGATATCTATGGATCTAAGTCTAGTACTAGTGGATCTTTTGAGTATCATGATCGTTGATGATGGGTGATGGTGCAAAACTATATGGTATATAATGATTCGTGATAATCATCGATGGAATCACACATTTTCGTGGTTTCGGAGGTTGTTCGATTAGGTCCTCGGTCTTTAGCCGCAAGGGAGATTCTGGCCGGTAGGTAGATGTGGACGAGCACTTGAGGAACATATTGAAATTCAACCAGTCCAAGGTGCAGTATGGTGCCTTTGAGGGTCTCATCTTGCCTTTTTTGAAAAATAGGTCTCTTGTTACTCTGGTTGGCTTTAGGTTTCATCCCTGTCTGCCACTTGCCATTCTTGGCTGCCATCTGTCCAGATGTCTGAGCCAAACAACCCAGTGGCAGTGTCGCCAGCACATCTCCCGAATTATACTGCGGGGATTCAGAAGTCCATCCGAACCAGTGGTTTCATGGCAAACTTTTCCTTTTTGGACCGTTTTTCAAGGTTTGCAAAATCGCATCATCTACAGTATGGATCCCAAAAACTTCCATCCCCCATCCGCAACGCTCAGTTGTGCACCCTGTGAGATGGGTCTTCAGCACGTCCTCCACTGCACCCATCCTAGGTCCACCATGAACTGCTGCCCCCACCAAGAATCCCCAAGAAATATGGCTATGGCTCAAGGGCTCAAGCATCTGGCCACCAACGGATCCACAGAATTTGTTGTTTTTCCGATGTTTCTTTGTACGATTTGTATGACACCCTTCAATTCTATTGTTGCCAATCATATCAACATTGTGACCCAACCATTCAAAATATTTGGCAAAATGGAAGTGACCATCCTGTGATCGTCGAGCTTCAACCCACTGGCTGCTTCCGTCAGGTTGAACCCCTCCATGATGCTAACGTGACAGGCGATAGCGGGAGGTGATCTATCTACTTCTGCAATTTTCTTCCACCTCGGCCTGATGTACACGGTATAGTTGGTATAGATCTTTGATAGATGATATGTGCATATATGGTGCATATGTGTGGTTGGCGATGTGGATATTTTTGTGTCACGAGATTGTGCTGTTGTTGATGTCGAAGTCGTTGCGGTTGCAGTTTGAGCTCCCATCCAAAATCCCATGCTGGGAGCGGTGCTCGCCAAGTGAAATGGCTGCTTTTTGATTTACAATTGCCAAGAAAAAAGAGCCGTGGATTGTAAGATTCCCCATCTGTAGAGTTTCTTCATCCGTTCTTTCTGGAACCTAGCTTGGCATTTTCATTCGATTCCCAGTGTCATACTGTGGTTCACCATGCTTCACCCAAACAAGAAGTATGCACAACCCACAGGACCGACAGCAGTTTGATCTCTGGACACAAACCGGTCCGAAGCGGACAGCAGTGGTTGGTTTGTCGGCCCGTTGCTTCGGTGAGGCTCGGAGCCGCTCCCTTCCTTCAGAAGACGGAGCTTGGAACATCTTGGAACCCTTTCGCCTGGATGAACTTGGAACATTTTGATCATTTTGTTTAATCCTCTGTAGTTCACTTGAAACATGGAGGAGAACTTCAGGAAATCGTGGGAAATCCAAATGAAAGGATGATGGACCATGATGGACCATGGACATCTATACAAAAGCGCAATCTGCCTTGATTCGCGATTGGACCTGCCTACGCTAATGATTGCTAATGTACATTCCAGGGCTGCGCAAAGGGGCACGTCATGGTAAATGCCAAAAACACAGCAGCAGTTGCAACTCCCATGCACAGTTTTGTGCAACCCTGGACAAATGTGCCAAACAAGCATGCTCACTGAGCAACTGTCAAAAAGCTTGCTGGGTGTGTATGGTATTTTTTTGTCACCTTGGCACTTGGCACTGGTGGATTCTGATCTACCGGAGCAACTTTGCCAGTTGCTCGTGTTTTTGCACATAGCGTGCTGCATATGGATCTTCAAAAGTCCTTTCCTATGTGCTGCGGTCACTCGACGGAAGATCGATGCAATGCTTGACCAACCGCCCCAGGTGACTGTGGCACATCTGCAGCAAAAAGGGCCGCGATACGTGAAGCACCTGAGGTTGTGGCAAGGTCAACGACCACCCGCTGAATCAAAGGATGGCAGCACAGTTTGAGACACCTAGTAGTCGTGAAGTGGACGTGGGTAATATTCGATTCATCAGAACAAACAAATCAGGAAAAGAATGCACGGTACAGGATATTTCACTCTGTACGTAATTGTATATTATACAATTATACATGTAGAATACGCTTTACAGATCTTTACAGATCTTTACAGAAATATTGATACCGCATATTCAATGTACGCAGGTCTTATATACACATTGTATTGCGGTCTTTTCCAACCGGATCCAAATTCGCAGTTTCTTGCACAACACCAAGTGCCACTGCAAATAAACATAAAAAAAACGATATATGGAATTGCAAGCCTTCGGGTAGCGATCATTAGAGATCCTAACCGGCGCATGATTGTATCAACATGTATAAACAAATCCTCGAAATAGCGTGTGTCACCAAAAAACGCTGGAGTGATCCCAATCGATACTTGGCTTTGAAATGCTTAAAACGATACCTACTGACCAACTACCCACAGCATTTATTGCCAGGCCATATCTCTTAGCCCAACCCTCAGATCAGATCTGGGCTTCCAAACATGCTCACAGGGATCAAAAACGTGGCACCTGAGCACAGAAGAAGGCTGGTACGATCTCGAGTTTTCACAAAAAAAATTGTCCTACAAGTGCTTCTGGGGGCCAAAGACCTTTTGGTGGTTCAATTTCAAATGTTTCTCACCATACATGGGGATTAACTTACTGGGGCTCTGATTTCTCACATCATATCTCTGGAACTTTCTGGAACTTTCACTGGTTGTCGGTTTCACTCTTTCCTTTCGCTGTGTTCGTCAGCAACCCCGACCACCGTGCCACCTTGGGCTTCCATGGTTTGCCCTTCTCTCGTTGTTCCGCCTTGGTCCGGCCCAGTCAGACATCATGGTCCCAGGGTCCGCCTGCACCCACCATCCAGCCAGGCTACCGCCCGGGAGGCGAGATTCTGCATGGAGGACCAGGTTTCCTCCGACACCCACGGGGGCAAATAGCCCGGGCGCCTCAGCAATCGACACCGATGACAGGAACTTGAAGCCCAACAATATCATGACAAGATATGACAACCTTATGACAACGTTTACCACCATGAAATGGAACAGTTTTATAGATTGAAGGAGTCCAACAATCAACTACATCCGCAGTGTTCGTTTGATGGCTTGAACGCGCACCCATGCTGAGTGCTTGGCGAAATCCTCACAGTGCCTACAAGAGATCAGGAGGCAATATTCCCCAACCGCCGATCTACAGTGATCGTGTCTCAATCCTCTGGGCTTCACCCAGAGATGGACATTTTCTCGCGCCTGGTTGCAGTGGACCCATGGCTCGGGCAGCCAATGGCACCGCCTGGCATGCTGGAGTTACTGATAGCTTGTGGTGTTTTTATGGTAGTGAATGATAATTATATACGTTATGTATACGTATATACATATATATGTACGTATATGTGTATATTATATTACATTATATTATGTTATATTATATTATATTAATATTAATATTATATTATATTATATTATATCATATTATATATAACATAAATGTTTTATATACTATGTAAATGATAGTTCATGATAGCCGATGTCCCAAATTCAATACTGCACAAGTTGATTGGACACATATTTGATGGTGGCTGGGGGGACAGTTTCACGACGCTAAAGGATCACGTTTTGAAAAGGCCGATGGATCCGTTGAGGCAAACTCAAAAACTCACCCAATGGATCGCTGCGGTCTCACAAGGTCCTTAACTGAATCAAAATATGAGCCCAACTGCCTGCGATCTGTTCACGCTCAGGATGAACCCTGGTGAAGCACAAACCCCCTTCAAACATCCCCCACCAACTATGGGCAGCTGAAGTGGAAAATCCCTCGTTGATCTTTGATTCTCGTTTCAATTTCGGCCAGCTCCACGGTAGGCTTGGGTCTGTCAGGCAGCTGCGACAGAAGCTCATGCCGGGGCCTTTCTGCTGGGAACCAAGGGACGAACAGTGACTATTGGGGATTGGCTGATCAACTGAACTGATCAGGCATGCAAGATTAATCAGTTGGCGACTATGAGTGATCAATCAAATCAGTGAATTGATCATTATTCAGTTGGCTACTAATGGTTAATCAATGTTAATCACTGAACATGCAACTGGCTAGCTTGGTGGGGTCGCAGTTCGCCCTGCCCATCACACCTTGATCGATCCATTGACATCTTCTGCCATGCAGCTGCTGCTTGCAATTTGGCCTGGTGACGGGAGAGGGATGCAGCTGACATCGGATTTTCTGAAATCCTGGTGGAGTTGAGTAGGATCACCTTTGATTTTGAAGTACGCAACATACATATATATATATACATATGTAATTATAATATATTATATATAATTATATATACACAAATAATATACATCTGCGACATCTTCGATCAATTCGATAAGCTTATGGAAACGAGAAATCCTTTGCCACTGGTTTGCGCTGGATTCCACAGGTGTTAAACTGCTGGCTGCCTCCATCTCATCAATGACAATCTGGGATGCCATCGTTGCCTGACAAGATAGTGAACCAATGAGGCCCGCATCCAAAACAAAGATAAACAAAGCCTATTCTCAGCTTCAAATGGTCCCTTTACTTTCCAGGTAATTGAACAAAACATGACAAACTATGACAAAACCATATAAGAAAATCATTTGACAAACGCAAAGACCTCGATTTTTCAATCCTGTCGACCCAACTGATGCAATTCTCTTCCAGCTACTTGTCGGAGCTGTGGCCTGCTGTGATGCCATGAGACGTTCTCCCAAACGGGACGCTTCCAGTCGAACAGCTGGCGACATACCTCAGCCATTGGAATAAGACTGAAATTCCTCTGCCAGCACTCTGAGGTGCTGATATACTCGAATCAGGTCAAAAGCTTCATTTTTATTCTTGTGGGGAATGCTATAATACTGCCTTCTGTACGAGGTATATATACGAGTCATCTGTTGGGTGATGCTCCTCCCACTCACAGGAATTCCTTGCCACCGTATGGGAGTGGCTATCCCCTGCTTTAAAACCATCCTCATATTAGCACCATAGAAATAGCCACAGGAATGGCGGTTCTACCTTCATGACGATAAAACATGATAGAAATGGCAAAACAAAATATGCCCAAGAACACCCATTCATCCACCATCCATTTCCAAACAGCACTCACTGCCAAGCTGCTGGGAGGTCTCAAGAAATCCTGCGCTGCATGCAGCGCTGGAAGCTGCGTCACCTCCCGGGTCCTGAACTTGATGGGTAAGAAATTTGGAAACGAAGGATGGCATGCTACCAGCGGGGCTGAGATCATTCTTCCAACAAACTATATCCAATTATTTTTTGGGTACAGAATTTAGTGATTCCAGCAATGGTACACCATCCAAAATCTTGACCATTGACAGTGGCGTCACCGAGGCCCTGGCCGATGAAGGCCATGGTTGCGCTGCGGAACTTTGTTCCAATGCAGCAACGCAGGGTGCATGGCTCAGCGGTGCTGAGACGAACCAGTTTACATCGTCCACAGGCCTCTATCTGTGTCTGTGCCTGCTGTGGATGTTGTGGTTACTGTTGTCCTGGATGCTAAAACTTGGGTGTATGGAGGAAATATGGTTAAAGTTGGGTGAATTTTTGGCTTTTGGAAGAAATTGGGCTCAAAGTTCCCTGAAGATTTAGATATTGAGAGAAATTTGGTTGAACATTTGAACATTTATAATTTATAATCTTGCTACATATTGCTACAGTAGTTACAGTATGAATTTGATTGCGTATTGTTGTTCTAGATTCTAGATATTTTGCAGCTTTCCATTATACAATAAAAGTGCATGGTTCGAATTGGATGTCTGCTAGTTCAAGCCTCAATCAACATTTACACAGTAAGCGTCTGGAAAGAGTAAGATTTCAAGAAGTTTTGAAATGTAAAAGAGCATCTAACACTTTCAGAACGTCAGCAATGCATTTGTGCTTTTTGGGTCTAGGACCCTAGGAGCCAGCCTTGGCACAAAAAAGAAACACGTGGCTGCCCATGGCAAATCCATGTCGGGTTCAGGTGGGACCAAAACGGGTGAAATCCTTGGAGCAAATCTTTCAAGATGAAGCACTGGACACAAATCACAAAGCAAAGAAATGATGGAGATTCTGCAAAGAAAATATACGCGCTCCAGGGTTTCTGTCTGCAGAATCTGGCTTCCCTTTCTTCAGAAGGTTACATAAATACAGGGTCTTCCAAGCATCCTACCCGACTGTGACTGTGACTTGGATGTGCATCCCAGTTGCCATGTCGGGTTGCTATGTTGGTAAGAATCACATTGCTAACTGGTTGTGATGGGATAGAACTCAGGTTTATGTATGTATATTATTGATATTATTGTATAGTATATCTATACATAATTATTGCTTGCATTATATAAATGGGTCAATGACCCAATGGCCACTGAGCAACTGGGATGCACCCCCCATGATTCATCGACTCGACCTTTTTCCTGTGTCTGTCAGTCCGAGCTGCTGGAACCCCAGGTAGACCTAGGAAAGTGTCCAGTACTTCAGGTACCCGGGATGGGTATCAGTTCCCCAAAATGACAACTTGCAGCACTTGCAGCACTTGCAGCACTTGCATCACCCAGTATGGAAAACACCAAAATGTACAGGGACAAGAGAGGCCTTGCATGATTCCTGCAACTTGAAGGCGTAACATGCAAAACCCTTGGCTTCTTCAAGGCCATAGAAAACCCGGATATTGCTCGCAAAGGCCTTGACCAGGGATGATCAAGCCATTTTTAAAGCCAATTAGGACAGAAGTGTTGAAAGAAGGTCAGGAAGTCCGAAAAAGTCATGGACGACTTATACCATGTGTATGCTGCAAACTTCATCTTCCTTGAGAACCCCTTAGTGTAAGCGCATGGGCACCCTGACAACACGCTGAGGGCTTCACATTGAAATCCGTTTTTTTGCTTGGGTCTTCAACATCCCCGTCATATCGATGATTGTTACCTGGCCGTTGATCAAGACATGCAGCTGCATTGACTCCGGGACGTCACAAGTCTGTGGGAATCGCTGAAGCCACTTAAACCATTGTCGTCTGCACTCGAATTTGCATGTCCGCTTCGATCCAAATTTGGGGATGTGTCAATGTGATGAAAACATGACATTTGAATGCATTTGAAACTTGTATTTCGGATTTCTGATATTTTCTTTTCGCAGGGATTTCATAGGATTTCTATGACGTCTTCATTTCGCACCCGTCCCCGACCTTCACCTTGGCAACGCCAATGAAAGCACCGAGGGATGGATCAGTCTCCTGCAGCACTTCCACCATCGTTCACTTTGCTGTAGACTGACAGTATGTCTATACATGTCTATACATGTGCGTATCCAAAAGACATGATTCTTTCCTCCCCTGGGATTGTAGATTCTCACTGCTGTGGGAAGGTGAGTCATCTGACTTTTGGGGTGTAGACATATATTATACATATATGTGGGTTTGGAAGGACACGCAGCCAAACCACGTTGTGGCATTCCGACGTGTGTGATAAAAAGTCGCAGGTCGTTTTTGTGACAGGCGCAATGCTATTGCATTGTCTTCTTAAGATCGTGGCAAGCACTTCAGAGATGTCCATGTTCATTTTTCGTGACCGATGCAGCACTTTAGACGTGTGGTGCTGCCTGTTTCTGCAAATCGCTTTGGTAGTGCTGCGTCAAGCGGTGACAAGGTGCATATGACGTGGCAGGTGCAGTACATCGTGAGAGTGTCATTCTTAGCAGGCGCAGCATTTGGTGAAGTTCCGCCGTGCGTGGAATGTCATTTTTCCTGGAGGGCGCACCATTTGGGATTTTTTTGTGTTTGTTTTTGACGCTTTCCGCATTGGCACACTTGCGCAAGGTGCGATGTTGCCTGCGTCTTCCGCGCCATTTTGCGTGGCCGGTGCAGTATTCGTATATTCATTTCATTTACATACACATATTTAAAGATATTCTATGGTATTCCCAAAGCCTGTATGAAGCACTAAAACTGTTGCCACCCTCGTCCTGAAGCTTCGAGAAACTTGCTGCAGTGCTCCTTGGGTGACTAGTGATCCATCGTTCAATGATCGCTCACCAAAACCATGGAAAATGATGGAAAAAGATGGAAACAAATGGAAATGGATGGAAATAAGGTCAGCAATATCACTCATATGACTTACAGTATATAATCTTATATATAAGAACCACTGGCCATCAAGCAAATAGGAACTTTGTCCCAGTCGGGGATAGATCAACATTTCAGGACCAGCAAACCCATGCCTACATCCAGCTGGTTTCGCCAAGGGTCCTTACAATGTCTTAACATCTTTGATCTTTCAGAAGGCTAATCCGCCACTGCCGACAAAATCTTTCCAATCCACAGCAAATTTACTGAGCCCCAACGCGCCAATGGATGTGGGAGATGCCTGGCGCTGTGGAAACCGACGGCTTTGACAGCGGTCCCCAAATTGACACTTTGCTTTCGAAGCCTCTGACAAGGCCAAGCGTCTTGAGAGCAAATCTTCACCCGGTTGCTTTCTAGGTGATTTATCTTTCAAGTTCCAAATCCTTGAAAGGTTGATGGGATGTTGCGAGGGGAAAATGAGGTCCAATTTGCCACTGAGTCTGAACTGCGAAGTCAGAATCCTGCCAGCCTCAGAGTCTGAATCAGCTTGATCGTCCTGGCAAATATCATGGCAATCATCCAGCATGGTGGATCGGTTCATCGAAAATCATTGTTTGGCCAAACCAGTTTCCAAGGAATACGTTCCCCTACCCTTTTTTTCAGCCCAAACCAATTTCGGACATACCTCTTAGTCTAGACATGCACTTTAAACGGAAAAAAACATGTTCCCAGAACTCACAGACATTGTGGCCGCCCAAAATGCCTTTCTAACAAGCTGATGGTTCATGCACAGTCAGTCACACAGACACAAACTCATACATGCATAGATACGCAAATACATACACACATTAGATCTCATTAGATCTCATTAGATACCAGTAGATATCATTAGATTTCATTAGAAATCATTAGATGTCATTAGATATCAGTAGATATCATTAGATGTCATTAGATGTCATTAGATGTCATTGTCATTGGATATCATTAGATACATTACATGCGATACATGCAATACATACATTACTATACATTACTCACACCATATACCTTGCCTGACCTTACCTTGCGTTGCATCATGCATGACTCATTACAGTGCACCATGCACTACATTGCAAAGTACACAAATGTGCAGTGTGCATTTTGCACATTGCATTTTACACGTTGCGCATTACACATTGCACACTGCACTGCATCACATGGCATGGCATGACATTACATACATGGAAACATGATATTCTATATATTTGCATAGCCTTTCCCTCTATTTGTCTGCAATGCGCATCATCCACATCAATCCCACACATGCAATACATCCAATAAAACCAGGTTTGCAGAAAGAGCTTCATATTTTTGATCGTCCTTGTTGCCATAACTCTATGTTTGATCCTCGTACAACTGTGGCATCAAACACCCTCAACCAACATGGTGGGTCCATGCGAACCCCCCTGTATTTCACTGCATCATATGGGTACGGTGCATCAAATGTGTGGACCCATTTTTCGTGGAATGGCTTCAGATCCCAGAATGGCCAAAACCATTTTCCTGGTGGTTCAAAGAAGTTCAAAGCTGGTAAACCCAACCATTTTCTGTGTGCTATTTCTATCCTCTTCATCAATGCCAGTATTTCTTTTCCACTGAAGTGACCCTTTAAGTGACCGTTCTCTCTTTTGGTCCGTATCACCTTCCGGTTAAAACATTTTGATGAGGGGTAGAATTGTGAGTGAACAGTCATACCCACCAATCAAAAAAAAACAAAACAAGCATAATAAACCACAGAAAACCATCACAATGGCTCCACTATGGACAGATTTCTCGGCATTTTGGGCACCACGGGCTGCATCCGTGCCTCTGGGGCAAAGAGTTCCACCTCTACGGTCTCTGCGATCCCTTCGCCTAAAGAGCCACGTTGCGTTGCCAAGTTATGGTTTCTGTCGTTGCGGTTTGCAACCGTTCCATAACCGTAGTAGTACTAACTCAAGCTATTTGGGGTTATTCAATGAGGCTAGGTTCAGCCAAATATTTCTGGAAGATATTTTAGGGTTTATTGAATGTTCTTCATGGGTCTATCCCTGAGTCTATGGATATTTATCGATATCTATGATAAATTCTGATGTCTCATTGTTTCCACCTGTTGTAAAGAAAATTAATTATCGAAATTAATGGTCGTTGATGAATCCGTGTTTCTGATTATGTTTGTGGTTGTGTGTATATTATATACATACACAGTGTATATAATCATTGTTATATGATGTTATATGTGGTTCACTCCCACGTTGTTGCTGCAACTAACTACAGTTTTTGGGTGGAGATTCATGGTCACATTTAAAGGTATTTGTGAAGGCTATCTATGGATGTTTATGGGTATGAGTTGCTGGGCATAGGT